AGAGATCAGGGACTGAAAAAGCCCCAAACGAAATTCCCTCCACTCCCTTTCCCCTTCCCATTCTGAAAACGACAATAGGCTAATAGGCAGTGTAGACAGAAGTTACAGAAGATTCAGTGTTTTGAAATGTCCTTTTCTTACCCCTCATACAATGGACTCACATTTTCATCCAATCGGTCATTTTCTAAGCTGTCTGCAGCCATGCACTTATGTTTGATCATGACTATAGACTGCTATCTGTGGCCAGATTGGGTGCAAATTGTCACTTTTGCCTGACCCCTTTAAGTCTTTCCATCTTTCTTCTAATTTCATAGTGTCCCTATTGTCCCTAAGACATAATGGCATTTCTTTTCTTTCAAACTTGTTGTTATAGATCTTTTTGTATCTTTATTTTTCAGTATAGGCTTGCTTGCATAGAGATTGTATAAGTCGTCATTTTTCACATATTATAATTGTTCTGACCTTGGAGTATCAGTACCTTGTAATAAAGTGGTGTGCATGTTTGCGTGCGCACGTACAGTATTTTGTTTTGAAGAAGTCCTTAGTCCAGCAAAATTCCCATCAATGTAAAGGTTTCAAGACTGGACACAACTTTTTTTAAGATCATTGTTTGACAATGATTTCATCTAGATTGACAAATCATGCAAGTTGCAAAAATAAGATGATGACTTAAATCTTCAAGGTGGATACACATCCATGAAAAGAACTTCCTATGCAGCTCCCATTAATGGGAGACCGTTAATCCTGTTTGATTATGCACAGCTGATCAGCACATCTTTTACTACTAGGAGGATATATCCTGTATACCACATTGATTTGTCCTGTATACCAACTTAATTTCTCTCAACTGATGTATGTCTAGTTAGGTATGAAGTAATATTGCTTTTTAAATGCAGAATTCATTGCTTGGATTGAACTGAACTTTGTTGTTCTACATTATTCTGATCTTTATTTAGAAAATTCAGTATTTCTGTCTATGTACTACATCTGGAACCCTACTGGCAGGTTATTTCACCAGGACACAGATTCTTTGCCTTCATAAACACAAAGGATAGGATGCTTGCCTCTACTAAGGCTACTTTGTAAAGAGCTACTCTAAATGGAAGTTGAGGATTCTCTCAAAATAGTATTTAAAGCAATGGTATTGCTCCATGCTGAAGTATTAAGATTTGTCTGATAAAGAGGAGGCAGGATCAAGCTCCATCTGAGTACTCTTTGTCTTTTCTGTACATACTAAAGCAGGAGTTCAACAGCACCTATCCTGAAGGAATGAGTCCTTCCGACTCATCCTTGTAAGCCAGTATCTCTCTCAAAATAAAGCAATGCAATAAGTTTATGATTTGTTAAACAAAACTACAAAACAGCCTCTTCATTGGTAGCCAAAAATAGTAATTATATGTTCTCTATTCTGAAAAATATCTAGGCATAAACATTATTTGGAACTCTACAGACACTTACATGACTATAGCAGTAGCAGTTTCAAATTCCCTCTAGACACATGGGCCAGGTACAGACATTACATGACAGCCTGTACGTGTAAAAGAAAAGTTTGATGTAGAAAATCGGTCTATACCCATAACAGAGCAGAAGTTCGGCACACAGACTAATTTAAAAATGGTGGAACCCGATCTAAGATTTACCCCCTGTAACAGGGAGCCAGAGACTCCTGTTCCACAGACTGAGGCAGCTCGTCAGGAGGGCCGCTGTGAAAGCAAATAGACAAGATAAGACCCACCAGCTCGAGAATGGGCAGCTTGGGGAGGGAAAGGTGACCAATCCTCTCGCACTGAGAAATATTGACACCTGGGGCTGGTGAGTCACCAGACATGGACACTAATAAGAAGTAATAAGAGCAGGATCAGAGAGGTACCAGAAGAAAAGAGTGCCTGGAAGAGCGCAGCGAGAGACACAAAGACGAAAGGGAGCTCCACAGAGAAGTGGAGCCCTCGTGCTGAGGGAGAGAGTGAGAGAGAAGACTCGTGGAGAAATCCCAGTAGGGGATCAGACTCTTGGGAACCGGGCAGAGAGGAGCCCAGAAGAGGGTTTACCTGAGAAAGCTTTGCTTTCTTAGTGGCAGACTTGTGTGTTGGTGATTGCCCAGACTGGGCTACTTAAGCTAAAGCAACAGCAAACTTTTGTTAGGATTTGTGTACCTAGGGCAGGTGTATGTTTACTTAAGACATTAGCCAGACTTCAGTTGGTTTGACTTGCAGTTCAGGAGGGACTGGTAGGGGTGAGAGGAGGTCCCAGCAGTGCCTAAAGAGGGCAGACAGGGCTTAAGAGTCTAGAGCCCTAAGAGGGGCAGAGACCAGGGTCAGAGATGAGACCCAAGAGGGCAAGAACAGGGCTGGAGCCCATAAGCCATGGTCCACATAGTGGGCCTGGGCTAGAAGGCCCAGAGAGAAAAGGGGCAGAGGCCGAGAAGACCAAAGCTCCAATAGGAGAGTGACTGAATGACACCACCTCTGTGGTATGAGTACAACTGTAGAGGAGATCAGAGGCTGTGAATAGTCACCCAGGCTATCCGTGCCTTGAGAGACTAGGAATGTAGCCCTTAATGCCCCTGGGACTGGGTTAGCCAGGAGTGGCAGATATATAGGTAGGATAAGTGGTCCCCCAGAGTCCTGGGCAGCCTTTCAATGACTACTTTCTTCCAAGAGACATGAAAGCCGTGGCAGGAAAAGGAGAAGGAAGAACCCAGGTACAGGTTAAGCAGGAAGCCAAGAGTCACTTGAGGACACTACTACACGTCATGTCCCATCCTGCTGCACCCTTCTCTCCCCTCACCAAAGGGCGAATGTGTGTTCTGTTTGCTACAGAGCTAAACTACACTGCTTACAGAAAACCACGCAACTTGGACCAATTCTGTGTCAAGCTTTTTGAATGTCTGTACCTAGCCATGAAGAAACTTATAATTAGGGTTACTTATTCTTCTGGACTCCATTTTCTTTTACATAGTTGTACTTAGTCCTAAAGTTCAATTGTAAGTTTCTAAGTAAAAGCCATGTGTTGTATCAATATACATTTACTTCTGTACTCTTACTGGAGGGAAAATATGTCCATTCAAATCTATGTACAGGCACTCCTCACTTAACGACCGAGTTCCGTTCCTGCGACTAGGTCATTAAGCGAATTGGTTGATAAGCGAGGAGCCGCACCTTGATACTGCGTGCCTTGGCTTGAGACGCTGCGCTGCCGTTTCAAAGACCAGTTCTCGTACTTATGACCAGTTCTCGCTGGTTGTAAGTCCGTGCGGTCGTTAAACAGGTAGGTCGTTAAGTGAGGAGTACCTGTATTATTTTTGGATAGGAAAGTAGTTGTGGGTATGGGGGAGTAGGGTATGCAAACTACAAGCTATTGATATTCAAAGATGGTTCAAAACTACATGAAAAATGACAAAATTGTGGGGAATTTTACTTTCTTTTTTCTTTTCTTTTTTTTTAAAGTTTTTCCAGCTTTTGTTGAATATGTTCAAATAATCTCTATTTCCTAAATAACCAATAGTGAGAAGGCAGGTTAGTATGACATTGGCATCTTATAGACTAACTCATTATTCTTGTAACTACCAATAATACTGTATGAATTTGAGGAGTTCATTATTTTTTAAACTCTCACAGAATTCCTATCATTCATTCTGCCAATACAATGAATCTTGAACACTGGAATTCAAGTTAGACTACCTTCACTTTCCAGCAATAACTTATTCAGCTACTTAGGGTTAAACCCTGGCTCTGTTAAAGTCTGTGGAAAAACTGCTATCGACTTCAAAGGAACCAAATTTTTACGCTTAATCTTTAAAGATCAACTCCATTACAGTAGATAGAAATAACTCCTCCAGAACTGTATCACTTGTATAATAGAATGGAGGATCAGGTTCAGAAAGTGTCCTTGGTCATGCTTCAGTTTTTTGATTGCTATTGAAACATTTGGAAACCTGAATAGCATTTGATTTACTTTCATACTACTTATACAGCCATTTGTATAACTCACAATTTCAAGTGACTCCCTGCTGCTGGCTCAAATGGAATTCATATAGATTTCTTGCCTAGTAATTCTTAAAGTTTATTTACTTTGGTTTTGTTTTTGTCTGGAGAAAAATAAATCCATACATTTTGGACTAAAACAATATGAAATCTTGAGCCAAAACAGAAACTAGTATGAAAAGGAAATAAATTCTATAAGTGGAGTTTGAAAGATGTGTGGTATATTTTAAACATTTAATATGATTGTTGGCAGAATGAGAAATACCACAAGGATAACTTTAATTCCTTCAGTCGCAGGTTTGTTTTCATTGTTTTTTGGGAGGTTTGGGGTTTTTTTGTAATTGCTATAACTTGAAGAGGAATTACATCTTATATAATGTCCTATCTTTAAGAGTTTTTATAAAGGACTTTGATCAAGAAATTCTGAGTATGAGTGGTTCTCTATGAAGATCACCTTTTACGTATTAACTCCAGTAGGTGATCTTACAAATCCTACAACATCTGAGCTACAGTAGTCACTAGCTAATAATTCTGATAAAGATGCTTATGGCTTGGTAGCTTTTGAGATCTTGCAATGAATATACCATTAACCTTCTGTCACCAACTTTTAAGATGTGCTTTCTCCCCTGCCATCTCCTCTAAAAAAAAACCTGGTCCCACAGCCTTGAAGGCCTTACTTGCCTTCATGTTTAAAGCTTTTAGGGATGGGTGGGGAAAATGTGTTGGAAATTTATTTTTGTACCTTTCGCATTATGAAAAACAGACCCTTACAATTGCTGGGTTGGAAGGACTGAAACAGAAAATTAATTCATAAGTGGGTGCTGAAGTGGAAACTGTCAAGCCACAGCTTTCCCAGCTTTCACTTAATCATTTTTAAACCCACTTGCTGTTGTTTTCACTGACTGCAGTCCCTTAGAGGGAATATAAAACTTGCACCATCCAGCATGGAATTCCACTCGCTTAATGACTTGTGCTCTGTGTTGACTCACTTTCACTCCCTGTTGTCATTGTGTACAGGAAAAACCATACCAGTGCTCGGAGTGCAACAAGGCCTTCAGTCAGAAGCGGGGCCTTGATGAGCACATGAGGACCCACACCGGGGAAAAGCCATTCCAGTGCGATGTGAGTTGGGCTTCCCTTTCCCTTCTTGAATCTGGTCCAGAAGCCAGACTTTCTTTTCCATGAGAGCGCTGGCCTGCATGTATTTTCGCTTTACAGTTGCATGTCATGTCATAAACTTCCACAGTTTTATGATCTTTGATGGCTTAACTAATGAAATATTGCTCAGGTAATGTTATGTGCCCTCTTTTGTTGCCAAGAGCATCACCCCACACATTGATTTTATGGTTTATATCCCTTAAGGGTTGTTTGCGCTATTCTTAATGCAATTTGGACATGGCTTGGTACAAATTCATGACCATTCAAGATTGTTCTTGTGTTCATGCGTAAGTATATGACAGGTTAATGGCAGGACATTAGCCTAGACAAAAATATCATTTACCTTTATTACATGGAACCTGAATCTCCATAATATAAGTTAACTCATTCAGTGGTTGTTAGTTTGCTGAACAGCCTGAGTATACATTCAGAATTTCGAGTTTCTGCTGATGAAAACTTGAATTGAGGTTGATCACACATTAGGGAATGGTTACATTGTTGAATGAAGGCAAAAACACTTCTGAAAGTTGCATGCCTTGGGAAATGGCTAGCAGTGTTGTTGTAGCTGTGATTATCCAGGAGAAGCGAGAGAAGGGAAACAAGATTTGTGAGCTGAGGTAATATCTTTTAGTAGGACTATTTATATAGTTACGAGACATAAATGACAAGCTTTTGGGCTTCAAGCATCCTTCATCAGTTCTGGGAAAGTAGTAGTCACAGTTTGAACCAAATACAAGTTAGAACAAGGATCCTTTCCTTAAAGCAATGGTATCCCCCAAGGTGGTGCATGGACCCCAGGTTAAAGAGGATTTGCGGTATCCCCCCATCTGCACATTACTCTTAAGGCATGATTAACCAGTTAATCGTGCCTTAAGTTTTGACCCACCAAATGGTAGTGAAATGACAGGAGGTGTGATCGTGTGAATTGCACATCAGATCCTATCATGCCTTTACATCCAGAGAAGCCCATAGAAAACAAGAAATTGATTCATATAAGCCTTAACCCACAACTAGTCCACATTTTCCTCATGTGAAGATTATATATTTATACTGTTTTTTACCTTGATTTGGCTTGATTTGGTAAGCATTGACCCTTTGGGAAGAAAGCTCAAAGCAGAGCCAGCATACATGACTTTCTGGGGCTTGTGAACTTGGGAGACTCTGTATTTTGGTCCGTCTCAAGTTGATGTTCTGAAAGCCAAAATCCTCATAGAAGTCTGTGGAAAATATAACAGTCATGATGTTTATTGGTCAATTTGAAACCTCTATGTTATATTATTAAATAGACAAAAATATAAGTGAGCCAAACGTGTTAAGGATTAATCATTTTCCAAACATCACAGTTTGACTCAAACCTGCTTTTGAGTGAGGTGGCAAAAGGAGGCTATTTGTTTATTTTGAAATCTTACTTTAAAAATGCCCAGGTATGTTCTCAAATGGAAACAGGCAAAATGACAGCATGGATTGAGTTTATGAACTCAAAAGTTTTTCATGGACAGACAAAATGACTGTTAAATGCAACATCAGAAATGGTACAGATATCTAATCTTTCAGGCAGGCTCATCTATAATATCCTGTCAGAGCAATCCCAGCCTGGCACTAAATAATGCTTTGATGACTTCCTTAATTCAGAGTCATTGTCAATTTAATTCTATAGCTCTCAGATTCTTGTCCCTTTTCTCAATTTTCAGCCAGTTTGCAATGCCAGTGTGATCTCCCCATGATGCCTCAGGCTAGTCATCATTTTCATAGATTTATAGATGTTAGGGTCTGCAAGGGACCTCATGAGATCGTCAGGTCCAGATCCCCTGCACTTGGGCAGGAAAGACAGCTGGGGCCAGATGACCCAAGCAAGGTGAGCGTCCAGATGTTTTTTGAAGATTTTTAGAGTAGGTGCTTGTTACCACCTCTGGGGGCAGTCTGTTCCAGACCCTGGACACTGAAACCATTGGTAACTGTATGCTTAGACTTCACACACCTTTATAGATAAATCTATATCTATCTGGAGCCTCTTTGTGTAGAGGGTTTTTTTGCTTTTTTCCCTCAGGCTAGTGGTAAACACTGAATGCAGTAAATCAGTTCTGTCCAACTGCTTCCTATATTTACCATATGAATCTGATGGAATTATCTCTTTTCTAGCTAAATATTTTAAATGAATTATTTAAAACTATTTAACATATTCAAAAATTAACCTTTCTAGGAAGATTTTTAGAAATGCATCTCCTTTCTTCTAATGTAGGTTTTTATTTATTTTTTCAAAACAATAGAAAGTATCTAATGTACATTCTCAGTAATAAATTGCTACCTTGTTCTACTCCTCATTGCTTCTCTCTTATGAGCTCCAAACTTGTAAAGTCTGCTAACTTTTATCAGGGCTAACCCATACAACAGCTTGCATATTATATCAGTCTGTACAGTATTCAGCTACCCAGCTGCCTGTAATTGTCTGCTCCCTAGTTCAGAGATGAAAAGCATGAAATGTTTGCCTTCTATGATTAGTCTTCTTTTGGATTAGTCCCATCTGAGAATATAAAAATTAAGGATTTCTAGTGGTTGGAGGGCCAGACAGCAGAACTAGGAGGTTGTAGAAGTAGATAGCATAGCCAGGTTTAAATAGGGAGTAGACAAATTCATGGATGATAGATCCACTAATAGGTATTAAGCAGTCTGGGATGTATCCTTTGGCATCTCTAAACCAATAACAGTGGAAGCCAGAGAATGTAATGAAGAGGGGATTGATTGCTCTAGACATATAACCTATTCAGTGCTCTCCCTCTAAAGTATTCATTAGCACTACCTCTGGAGGCAGGATATTGAGGTAGATGGACCATTGGTCTGTCCCAGTATGGCATTTCTTATGATCTTAGTGTACTGTATCACATCTCGACAAGTAGCAGATGCTTTTGAGGAAGATGCAAGAAACCAAAGGTAGAATAAGTAGTAATAGAGTAATCAGCCCATGGGAAGTTTCTTCCTAACTCCCCTTCATTATTGATTCATTTTATTCACTGATGCATGTGTGTTTTATGGCTTATTTTTATACCATTTTAGGTATCAGTAGACATTTTCATTAGCCAGTTGAAATAATCCCAATAAGCTTTTGGTTTGAGTGATAGCTTTTGGAAGTGAGTTCCACCAGTTAATTATGTATTATATAAACAATTTCCTTTCATAATTTTCACATTTACTGGAAGAATGTCCACTTTTTCTTGTTAGAGGGAGTAAATAGTAGCATATGAATTTGCCCTAGCTGCACTATTCACCATTTTGTATCCATCTATTTTACCCTCTTAACTTTGAAGTGATATAGTCTCCTATTCATCGTGAAAACTCTCCCTTCTTTAATCATATTGTTGTCATTTTCTGTACTATTTCTTTCTTCTATGTGTTTTACAAGCTTATATTTAGCTTGTGAATGCAGAGACAAGGATTGTTTTTTGAATACAAGGCGCAGCCTGGCAATCCATACCCATGAAAGACTAATCCAAATGGACTACAATAATCTCAGTGATCAGGCCAGTGGAGAATCTGTTGGAGGTGTTATGGGTGCTCTTCCTGTAAGTGGTAATAATATTTATACATTTAAGCACATATTGTGAGGTAGAAAAAGATCTTACAAATTAATTATTTTTCGTACCTGGGATGATAAGCAGCTGTAAAGACCAGTCAACCCTTTTAAAATATCCCTTTAATTCAAGGTGTTAGACTTCCCTGTTAATACTAAAGAACTTAGCATTTAACATCAGGAAATGTCTTTTAGTGCCAAAGACTTAAGGAAGCTCAGGTTTTGCCTGTTCAAGGAAAGCACTTTATGAGCTTATGAAAATGCTGCACTTGCCCCACAAAAGAAATAATTGATACACCTGCACTTTGAAAAATGTTCCTTGGGTGTGAATATTATTTGCCTTCTGGAATCAGAAATAAAAACAGCAGCTTCTCCTTTATTTCTCTCCAGACCACATGTGATGGGCATTAAAATAATGAGTTTTGCTAAGTCAAAAAATAATCTGCGCACTTCTTTTGATTTGTATGCTGTATTTATTTTGATATCTGCTTGGCTTTTACTTATAATCTAAAGTATCATCAGAATTTGTTATTTTAAAGGCTTCAAACTCTTGGGAATAAAATTTCAAAGCTTTATCCTAGACAGTTCTCATTAATGTTAGTGGAAATCAGATATTCGTGCTCTAAATTTTAGCATATCATCTACATAAAAAAGTAGACTAAACTGGAAAAGAAAATGTTTCTGTCAGTCTTTCAAATGATATTTGTCTTTTAAAGATCTTCCTGTTTTTATTTAAAAAAAAAAAAAAAAAAAAAAAAAAAGTTAAAAGGCCCAGGCAGATAATTCTCCAGAATGGCATTCCTGGTTTATTTCCAGTAAAGCATGATCTCTTCACACTGTGCTGTCAGTTGACCCTAAACATGCCTTCATGTGTCAAGTGTCCCCACCTCCACACTAAATCAAAACTTTAAACATTATAAGGAAACTGACTAAAAGTCCAGATGAATAGAAACAGGAGTGTTTGTCATCAGTGAAATGTCATGGATAAGTTATAAAATTAACATAAAAAGCAAACTCTTTAAAAAAATATTTACAGTTACCTAGGATACATAAAAACAAGATTCATATGCAAGTAATAGTCACTTTCTTGCATATTTTAAGTTCCTTCTCAGAACAACAAAAACAATTACAGCCTTGAAAGCAAAGCCAGTGGCACATAATGCTAAATTCAATCATTCTGTGGCCATTGAAAATGAAATAATATATACCAAAACTACCATAAACCTTTTAATTTCAAAGCATAGTGGGATTATTTTGGAGTTTGTCTTGATTCAGCAACATATGAGAAGCAATACACCCCTTTTGAAAGAACATAGGATTCAAGATACAGATTCTATTTCCAACTGTCACTAGATAAACTAGTCACTTGTCTTCCTTTACCTCAGTTTCCCCTATCCTTAAAATGACAATAATGATAGAGATGTGTTGCAAATGACTCTTCTTTGTAAAGTGCCTTTAGAACTATTGATAAATTGTGCGATATAAAAGTGACATTGCTTATTATGGTTAGATAATTACCTGCTTAAGAGTTTTGCTGCTTTCGGAACGTAAATCAGTTTTATCAACCCAGCTCAGCGGACTTTTCCATAAGCATTTCAAGGTACTTTTACACTGCAGAACAACTTGACAATCAATGAGTCTTAGGCCATCTACAGATATTAAGTTGCTTTGGGGGCAGTCCCACAGTGTCACCCAGGCTGGACTCTTCTACTCTAGCTGAGCAGGGAGCAGAACATGTGTGGAGTTGAGCAGCGAGCAGAACATCACAATCCCACATTGTTCTGCAGGGAGACACAAGCTGACCCTGCCAAATGGGGCCTGGGTCAGCCAAACAGCATTGCCTTGTGTACTTCTGTCATCTGTCTCCACAGTCAAGTCCCATTTGAACATCTCTGTTCCAGATGTCTTCAAGGCAGCCACCCAGAGTTCCATATCCATCTTTACCAAGAAAGCACTGTGCTGCCTAGGAGGCTTTGAGAGCAGATGCTACATATGCACATTCTGCATTGCCACACTCCATCCCCTTTTCATGGGTATACTGCTAAAAAAAAATTCTGTGAACTCAAGGTTTGAAGGGCATGTCCATATGGATTGCACATCTCTTAAGTAACTTCCCTTGAAGAACAACACTAGTAACTAACAGCTCTCAAGCTGTCACTGCTGCTCCTTTGAAATGCATCAGGAATTACTGTAGCGGAAGTTAACTTTGACATAGGTCTGTTTCTGACTTTCCTACTGATTGTTGTATATTGCAGCATTGCTCAAAATGTAGGGAACACCCCATGGGGAGGTGCAAAGCTTCCAGGGGGGGGCATATGTGAATCACAGCTGCTGACTGTCACTGACTCCCCTTGTTGGCAACAAGGAGCAATGGTGGTGGAGGGGTGGGGACAACAATATGGACTGAAGTGGGGAAAGGCACCAAGAATGGCCAGCGCTGCTATGCTAGGATGTAACCCCCACAAACTTTGGGAAACACTGGTATATTGTATACAGCGTACAGATATGTGTGACACAAAATATTATATACACACTTATGTGTACATCTTTATTGTAGGTTTCATGGCTGTATACTTATTTCAATATGGAACCTTGCTTCCCTTATTTTTGCCATTTTGAGATTTTTTTTTTTATGTGAGGGGATGTGTTGGTATGACGGGCACAGTTCACTCAAAGCTTTGAGTGATACAACTTCCTGAGTTGTCTGGGAATGTAGAAGAAAGCAGATTAAGAAAAGTTTTGAAATAAAATAGGACCCAAATAGTGGTCTCTTAAGTAATTTTCATTCTCAGAAGGGGTCATGAGGTTCTTCTGTTGCCTGAGGTAAGAAAACAAATTAAAGAAGGTTGAAATTTTGTCTTTCCTATCTAAAGATCTGCAGTATGATGTCATCTCATAAATTTAAAACTGTTCCATAACAACATGACGTATACTGTTCTCATTATTTGGAAAAATAAGTAATTTTGGATACAAAATATTGCTTTTGACTATTACTCTTTTCTCCATTGCCACCCTCTGACTTTGCCAAGAGCATTTATAACACAGGTCAGAATGATCTACCTATTTACTTTAATCTAAGACAGTCCCCCAGTAATTAGATTCTAAAAATGGAAAATGTATGAATTTGTTATAGGTATAGAATCTAATTATTGGAGATTTACCTTGAATTTTCCCAGCTAAAGCAGGGAAAATAAATCTGGAGGTCAAGTAACACCCTTGCCCTCTGCGTCCCCCCAGTTTATTTCCCCTGTAGCCCCTCTCCCCATACCTATTGTCAAGCTCTGCTTTCCCTCACCTACTGAACCTGAGGGGCAAATTTGAAAACCCTGACCTTGACATAAACACACCTGCACTAATTTGCAGATAGGCCAATTACTATAGGTACCCATAGCTTTAGTGCCTCCAGAATTGATGCATTTTATCTTTTTTGAAGCTGCTGCAAGTTTGAGCACAGGTATCCCATAAACATACTTCTAAGTAACACGTTTGTACTTAATGATATGCATACTTTGTACTATATATAGAGAAAGTACAAACTATGCATATAGCATTAGTAATAGTATGCACAATATTCAAAGAGCCCAGTGGAGACTAACAACTATGCATGATATTAGTCCAGAGCCAAAAGGCTCATGATTTACGATAGTAGTTCAGATACAGATATACAATCAGATATACAATATAAATGATTTACAGTATAGTTCAGAGTGTTTGGACTCAATGACCTCCTTTGGTCCTATGCAGCCGTATTCTAACATCAGAACTCTCCATTGTCTTGCTCAGAAATTCCATTGAATAATACTAAGTTTCCATACATATACAATTCTTTTCTCTTGTACTGTTCTTTTAAAGGAAATCTATAAAGACGGTTTTATTTTTTTCTGTTGTTGACCACCTTCCTTTTGTGTAGTACCTAATAGTTCTTTTTCATTAATACCATAAGCATTGCATTGTGATTCTATTGTGTGATCATACACAAAAAGTATGTTGCAAGTGGGAGAGAACAATTTTATTCTGACCCACATTAAATAGTAGCAGGAAGAATACAGAAATTGCTGACAAAACAGTTCAATTTTTGTACAAATGTTCTTTTGTTTCAGGTTTCCCAACAGTGAAAGTCCTTTTTGTAAAGTACATGCATTTCAAGTGCCTGAGAGTTCACTGCCTTTCATCCTTCCTTTCCTTTTTTTAGTTGACATGCTTAAATTAATTTTAATTTGTTTCCAAAGCACCATACAATGCATTTAATTAATCATTATAGTTTGATTCCGTGAAGGCAAACAAAACAGCCAGAATACATAAAGATCCTCTCTCTTTGCTGCCTAAGAGTCAGATCCTGTAACCTTACATTCAGGAGGACCTTTTTATTCCTAGTTGCATTGGCACCACTGCAAGTACTTGTGTAAAATGCTTTTAGCATGAGAATACCATTTAACCAGATGAGAGGTTTGTTTGGACAGCCCTGCAGAAGGGGAGAAAATAGCCTTCCCAAAGGGGGGAAAGGAAGGGATGGGGTGCCTCAGCTTGCACATGATCTCTTCTGCTCTCTCTGCCAGCAGGAAAATGGGAGCTGATTCTCCCTTGCTCCTCCCATTGAGTTAAACCTTGCACAGGTCATTTAAGTTATAAACAGACCTCATATTTAAGGTGGTCCTTACTGTCCCAGGTCTTGACTCAGATCAAAGCAGAAACAGCACAACCCTTTACACCCTTTTAAGCTGCATTGCTTCTTCTCCGCCAGTACCTCACCAGGGAATGCACACAGCCTGATAAGTTTGTTTCAGGAATGAATGAACCACAGTTGACTTAGACACATACACAATGATGTACATGGAAAAATTGTTAGAACGTTTTCTAGGGCATACTTCTCTGGTACTTAAAGCATGACATTGGGTGTGAAGGTCTGTTGGATCTCAGGACAAAAGGCTTTGTCCCAGAGCAAATACAAAGTCTGTTTACAGCCTTAGGGCTCCTACACACATGTGGGGAGCTTGCTCCAATGCACTGGAAATCCAATTAATTGAGTCTGATGGAGCACAGAAATTGATGTGCTCTGGCAGCCATGGATCAGTGTCACCACGCATCTCTACATTGACAAAATGTTGGTGGTGTGCTTTGAAATAAAACACATCCGAAGACCTTTAGTTCAAAGCAGCCCACCACTATTTTTTCAGTGCGTGGACGTGCAGCGAGGCTAATACATGTGACGCACAGGCACTTTTAATTGGCACAGCTCTCTAATTAAAGTGCCTGGTGCCATGTCTGGGAACACATGTAAAAATGCCCTTAGAGTCTCTTCTTCCCTTATTTGCCCCACACTCCCTCCCTCTGGCAGGACTTCTGAAGCTGTATTTTCTAAGATGCTGTGGGTGTGACCAGCTGCCTGTTTTGGGGTGTTAGGGCAGGATGGAATTTTTTCCTTCAGGACCTAATTGGGAGGAGCCTAGTGAGGTTGTTATCCTTCCTCACAGTATCATAGAGCCACAGTTTGTTTACATAAGAGTTTTAGGCTTTAAAAATGATATAATCAGTAATAGTATTTTAATAAACTGTCTTGCTCATTGTAACCTGCAGCAGGTATCCCATTTGGGTAAAAGTCCACAGTACTCAGAATTAAATGAGATCTAGGTCTCTGTGGACGTGGTGCCCAAGAAAAAAGAGAGACTTCAGTGAATGGCAAAACTTCAGTGAAGAGGCAAAACTAGTGAAACAATCACTGGAGTGTGGAAGCAGGGGGTGCTGAGACCTGGAGAGTGGGGTTTCAGACCATTGCAGGATGCTGCTGGTGCCCACCTCAAAATCAGTACCCGAGGCTGGTTTCCTTTTTCACCTTGCCCTAGTTACACTACTAGTTTATAATATAAACAAACATAGAAACTCATGGGCATCAGTGCAGTCAGGCTTTTGCCTCCTTTCCTTTTTTAGTACACATAATGCCAACTGTTAACTTAAGAATGTTGAAGAATATCACAGAACAGTATAACATAACAGGAGTTGGGAGTTCATGTTCCAAAGTCTTATGTTCTCAGTTTTGCAAAAGCATAATCGTGGGAGGTCATCTATAATGCCATGATTTAAAATAAGTTACTTACCCACTTTGTTTTTAAAGATTTATTAGCTGTTCTTGTTTTCTATGCTTTAGGTTTGTGATTTGTCCTTCAGCCTGAAGAAAATGCTGATCCGACACAAACTGACTCACAATCCCAATCGTCCAATGGCAGAATGCCAGCTCTGCCACAAGAAATTTACAAGAAATGACTACCTCAAAGTGCACATGGAAAATGTCCATGGTGAAACTGACAGCTAACTGTGGTTTATGCAAAAAGCGTGTGTCTAGTCTTCAAGTGTTCCATTTGTACATGTACAAACTCCAGACTTCTCACCTGATTAGTAAGCACAATCAGGAAAAGAACTGTAATATGCTCACAGACTTTTTTTTTCCATTTCGCTCTCTGTTTATGTTACAGAGGGGTTTTTTTTAAAGACCCTGAAGTAAAACAGTTTGAAGATGAAAGAAAGAAGATAAAGGAACATTTCTTTTTTTTTAAATGATCTGCACCTTTCTTAGCAGCCTGGGGACCTGATATCATGGTAACGGTACTGGGAAATTATGGATATTTGTTACTAGGAGACCTCAGAAATAGTCCTGTGTGAAGCAGCTAGTATTCGCTTCAGATTCGGATTTGGCTGATTCAGGGGACAGTGATTCAATTCACTGTCCCAGATCAATTCAGACAAATCTGATTTGGAGATTCAGCCACTGCCGAATCAGCTGAATCTCCAAATTGAACAGGTCCCATCCCCCACCCATGCTCCCAGCCCCAGCATCCCAGCACTTTAAAAAAAAAAAAAAAAGGGGGGGGGGGGGAAAGCCCCACACTCACTGGCTCCTGCCAGGTGCAGGGGCAATGCCCGCTGCCCCCCACTGCCCCGTGCTGTATGGGGGGGGCTCTGCCATGAGCCCCCAGAGGCCCTGACAGCCACTGCAGCAGCTGGTGAATTCGGGGCTTTTTTGAAGTGCTGGGATACTGGGGCTGGACAGGGCAGCCATTGACAGGGCTGGGAGAAGGGGATGAGAGTCGGGGAGCACTCGGCGGCTGGTGGAATGGGCATGGGATAGGGCCTGGCGGGGCTCCCCTCATGGTCCCTCCCCGACTCATTCAGACCTAATCCCACCCCGTACTGATCAGCCCCTTACTTACCAGAGGCTGGGTCCAGCTCCCTATGGTGGCGAGCAGGGACTGCCCAAATCACCGAATCTCCTCCAAAGCTTTTCCAAATCGATTCAGAGGCTTCAAATTGATTTGGACCCTTTATTGGTCTCCCGATTCGATTCAATTTGATTCGATTCGGATTTGGAGATTCGGCAACTGAATTGGGCCAAATCTCCTCTGAATCGAATCACCAACCAAAGCTTCGCGCAGCCCTGCTCAGAAATATCAGTGCCTTAAGCTTCAAGGCTATACAAAAAGCAACATAATCTGACTGCTTTTTTCAATTCAATTTCATCCTGATTGGCCATGTTGCCACCCAAACAAATTTTATTTAGATATTAGCAGTATGTTTTATTTCACTGTTTCTTCTCATTTTATTTAGAGCCTAAAAGAATTAACTTGAAATGGACTCTGAGGCGCCAAAATATGGTACAGAAGCTGCAAGAATCTGCAGTCTTAAATATTTTCACATGAGCATCCAAGAAAGACATCATTCCTTCTGGTTGCCGTTGTGTGAGATGAGATCAGAACAAAAGCTGAGAGCAATTTAATTTTAATAATCATTTTAAACACTCAAAGCTGCAAGTTGCAGGCAAGGGAAATAAGTCCTAACGAAGTGACTTAAAGGCCCCCCCTCACATTACACTTAAGGCATGATTAACTAGGCTAACTGCCCCTGCTTTGAGCCCAGTTAGCTGCAGGGCTCGCAGCTATGGAAGCCAGTGTAGGGGGAGCCCAGGATCAAGGGTGCTTCCCCTGCACCAGTGATAAGGAACAAAATCCCACAATCATGCCTCCTGCCATGCATGTGGCATAGCAGGAAGTGTGATTATGTATCACACATTGGATCTCATTGCACCTTAGCTGCACCTGTAGAAGGGCCTAAACAAATATAAGTGTCTGGTTGAGGCAAAAAAGATGCATCTAATTTACCAGGGCAATCCAAGTGCCCTTATTTTCTTCATTCCAGTTAAATGACTTTGATTTCCTTGTTGCTCTTAATGAGCAGTGGGAAAAAATATTGCTCATAACTAAGTAACAACCAAATACTTTCAGATCGTAGATTAAGACTCATATTTTTCAGTTTTTAAAAACAATTGTCATAGCACATCTTTTTATGCCACTCTGGTGAAGAGATCCTTTTTACATAGGAGGGACAGTAAATATATATGTCTAGATTTTTGCAAATCCCAGGATAGTACATTAGGGCTCTATATAGAAACAAAGTTTATATTCATTTTGGATTACATGGACCAATATTTTGTTAGGAATCGTGTGTTAGATGTACACCTTCATTCTGATGGAGATTTGTCTCAATTACTGGTTGTAAATTTTGTAAACTTCATCCTAGACTGCAGCAAAAGCCACTGGATGGATGAACCATAAAAACA